ACTCGGGTTGCCTCCCGGGAGCGCTTGTTTAAGGTCGTTAGCTTGACCCAACTCTCTCAACTACCGGATGGGTCTAACGGGCGAAGATTATCGATCTTCTGCCAACCTGGATCATGACGTTTAAGAGCATCTCTACAACGAAAGGAGTTTGAGAAATGAGACATACCTTTCGTCCTATCTGGATCTGGTCCTCTCTTAACCTTGTGTTTGTGGTCCTGGTTCTTGGGCGTTTTGAGCTTGTAAACTGAACAAATAGATTTCACACTTTCGTCTGGATTGTCATTTTGATTGAGCATGAATTATATTGTCTCGTCTCCAATGGACATAGTAAGACGACCCGCTCTGACGTGGATGATGACATCTGCTGTGTTGAGAAAGGGACGCCCTAAAATGATAGGCATGCTTGAATCTGCATCCATGTCAAGAACCACAAAATCGACAGGTATGTAATAATTACCCACCTTAAGTGGCATGTCCTCTAGTATACCTGCAGGTCGTTTGGTTGAGCTATCTGCCAAGTGTAATATCATTTGTGTGGGTTTGAGTTCACCCACATCTAGTCTCTTAATAGGCATGCTTGAATCTGCATCCATGTCAAGAACCACAAAATCGACAGGTATGTAATAATTACCCACCTTAAGTGGCATGTCCTCTAGTATACCTGCAGGTCGTTTGGTTGAGCTATCTGCCAAGTGTAATATCATTTGTGTGGGTTTGAGTTCACCCACATCTAGTCTCTTAAAGATCGACAATGGCATTAGGCTTACGCTTGCTCCTAGATCACATAGCGCCTGTTCAATAAAGAGATTGCCCATTTTGCAAGGAATGAAGAAACTACCTGGGTCTGCCATCTTACGGGGCAGATCGTGCTGAAAAACGGCACTGCACTCTTTGGTTAATGCTACTGTCTCCTTCTCCATTGTCTTCTTCCTAGCCAGAATATCCTTGAGAAATTTGGCATAAGAGGGCATTTGAGTGATTACCTCATGAAAAGGCATTGTGACCTCCAGTTGCTTTATCATGTCCGTGAAGCGCTTAAATTGACTGGCCTCTTTGTGTTGCACAAGTCGTGAAGGGAATGGAACCGGAGGAGGTCTGGGATATGGAAATACATACTTTGGTTCTTCTTCACACGTCATCTTAATTGAAGTATCTGCAAACTGAATGTTAGAGGTGATCGCAGATCTAGAGTTAGAATACTCACCTTTTTCAGGAGTAGAGGGGAAGACATCCCCAAGTTGCTTCCCACTTCTCAAGAACACTGCATTGCAGTGCTCTCTAAGATTTGTCTCGGGTTTTCCGGGAAGTGATCCTTGAGGTCGCGAAGGTATAGAGGCTGCGAGTTGAGCTATCTGGTTATCGACAAGCTTGAAATGGGCGTCGGTCTTCTGTTGATGTTCACGCATCTCGGTGCGAATGACCTCTTGAGCCTGCATAAGCTGTGCGAATATAGACTTAAGATCGAGGTCAAAATCTACCTGTGGTGGAGGCGGAGATGGAGCGTTTTTTTGATGAGATTGAAGAGGTGCTAGGTAGTGTTGAACGGCCTGATTCTGATGTTGTGGGAGAGCACGAGATCGAGGTTGATGTTCTTGAGAAAGACCTTGATTAGACGGACCACTGAAATTTCCATGGGGAGTATTCAAGATGTTGGAAGAATTCTTGTACGAGAAGTTTGGATGATTCCTCCACCCCGAATTGGACACGTTCGAGTACAGATTATTATCTATGTAGTAGATGTCTTCGATCATGTACCCGTTGGCTGATGTGTCTAAGTCTGAGATCTGATGGGCATTCTCAACCTGGATTTTAAGTTTTGCCAATTCTGAACGTAATGCTTGAATTTTAGATAGACTTTCCTTACCTGCACGACTGTCTTTGAGGCTAACGTTTCTGATAAACTCGTGAGAGGGAGCACATTCGTTGGTCATCTTGTTGATTTGTTGCTCTATGAAGTCGAATGACTTTTCGTTGAGGCTTCCTCCACATACTACTCGAATAAGAACCCGAATGTCCTCCTTTAATCCCTGCAAGAAAGTGGAAATAAGGTACCTTTTATCCCATCCATGGTGAGGACATGTTCTCTGGTATCCTTGAAAGCGATCCCAAGCTTCACATAAGGATTCATCAAGTTCCTGCAAAAATGAGTTAATCTGTTGTTTTGCGAGCTGGGTCTTGCTAGCGGGGAAGAACCGCTGCTGTTCCCATGAGAATATGGAATCTGGAGGTAGTATGTAGAGCCATTCCAGAGCAGTATCCATTAAGGAGAATGGAAAGGCCATGAGCATGAGAGACTCATCGGTAACTCCGCGGACTGTCATCACCGACTTGCATAGTAGCTTGAATCGAGTCAAGTGAGGGATCGGATCTTCATTAGTTCTGCCCCTGAAAGCCGATGAGCTCAGCATATTGATGAATTCCAGTTGAAACTCAAAATTGTTACGGTCGATGTCAGGTCGGCGAATGCATGAAAGCTGCTGAATGTACTTAGGCTGAAGGTATGCCCCATAAGTGTCATTGTTGTTCTCAACAACTATAGCACGTTCCTCCATCTTTCTTTGCTGTCGTTTCTTCTTTCGACTGTGCTTAGCGGACTTCTCGATTTCAGGGTCAAGAGGTACTAGGTTGTCAGGCCCAGGACTCCTGGTCATACACCGGAAATCTGCACACCAGAAAGTAGAACAAACACATAGAATAGATCAAGAAATCGAGGGAAAAGAAAAGAGAAAAGAGAAAAAAAAATCTAGATTCAAAGGAATCTTTATCCTAGCGCTAACCTACTCCCCGACAACGGCGCCAAAAACTTGATAACGCAAATCTAGGTACAGAAATAATGCTCAAGTGATAAAAATCTAGATACAGCGAATACCGCAAGGATACAGATCAACTGTAGTACCAGGGTCGAACACGGGGAATAGTTAACTCTAGGAACAAGATGATGGGGTTCCTGGGATCTCTAGAGCGAATCTTATTCCTAAGAGATCGATTCTAGGGTTTGCGCAGCGGATATAAAACAAAATTTGAATGAAACCCTAGAACCATGCTTCTATGAATCGTAGAAACGTTAGAACGCTTACCTCAATCGATCTGGGGCCTGTATCAATCAAAGAGTTCGTCTGATCATGAAAGGAAGGAAGAATACCTCGCCCTCTACACGTATCCACACCTCGGGATGGATTCCAACGGTTGGAACTTGTCTGCTAGGACCTGAATCTGCTATTCGGTTTCGCACTTCGAGAAAATGAGACTTGGAAACTCTTGGATCTTTTGGATCTCACCAAAAACTTTCAAAACTCTGTATCAGACGGTTGCTTAAGTCTCTTGATTAATTAGGGTTTTAATCTCCTTCTTATAAGGTGATTTAACCCTAATTCAGGCTAATTTTCGAAAACCCGAAAGTCGGAACAGACGGCCCAGGAATGCACGTGGACCGTCCGTTCCAGCAAGCCAGAACGGACGGTCTGCCCACATGGACCGTCCGTTCCAGACAAGCTAGAACGGACGGTCTGCCTTCTGCGGACCGTTGGGTCTGGACCTGGCGGACCGTCGGGTCTGGCCCTTTCGGTCCGTCCGTTCCAGCCCCTTCCTCTCGGTTTTTCTGTCGTTTTCTCGTGCGTTTTGTCCTTCCCTGCGTGTGTGACCCTGTAGGCTCATTCAATATAGCAGTATAACCCGAAATCTCAATTTCGGATATACAAGTCATAGGCGGTCTCTAGAAAGACACTATGACTACCTATCTCGAATAGAGTTTGTTCGTGATCTTACGAACGCCAGTGATCATTCCGGTTGATGATCCTTTTGCATCGCGATATCATATGTTGAACATAAGACATGGACAAGCCACCTTATCTGATTCGACTGCTTTCTCGTTCACTGAGTTTGATTGTCTGAAATAGACGACGCTCGTGATAAAAATCTAGATACAGTGAATACCGCAAGGATACGGATCAACTGTAGTACCAGGGTCGAACACGAGGAATAGTTAACTCTAGGAACAAGATGATGGGGTTCCTGGGATCTCTAGAGCGAATCCTATTCCTAAGAGATCGATTCTAGGGTTTGCGCAGCGGATATAAAACAAAATTTGAATACAACCCTAGAACCATGCTTCTATGAATCGTAGAAACGTTAGAACGCTTACCTCAATCGATTTGGGGCCTGTATCAATCAAAGATTCGTCTGATCATGAAAGGGAGGAAGAATACCTCGCCCTCTACACGTATCCACACCTCGGGATGGATTCCAACGGTTGGAACTTGTCTGCTAGGACCTAAATCTGCTATTCGGTTTTGCACTTCGAGAAAATGAGACTTGGAAACTCTTGGATCTTTTGGATCTCACCAAAAACTGTCAAAACTCTGTATCAGACGGTTGCTTAAGTCTCTTGATTAATTAGGGTTTTAATCTCTTTCTTATAAGGTGATTTAACCCTAATTCGGTCTAACTTCTGAAAACCCGAAAGCCGGAACGGACGGTCCAGGAATGCACGTGGACCGTCCGTTCCC